TCTTTTGATCCCATAAACATAAAGGAAAAATGAATATTGCCATTCCAAAACATCTTAATGCATGTAATATAGAGTTCAAACTTTCTAAAGTTTTAGCATGTTCTTTCAAACAAACAGTATACATCAAGACAAAGCCTGTGATGATCGCAATTATACACACTATACTGATCCACCTCTTCGCCTGCACGGCCTTGCATCCTTCAACACTGCACATTTCAGGTGTTTTTGTGCTTAATGTTTCTGGTAAAAATATATAACTGATTATCACAACGCCATTTACTATGTCGAAAAAGACATGACAACATGTATAGACAATAGCAATGTTAATCACTGGACCAGTGATTTCTCGAGAATAACGAATGTTTTCGATCACAATGATTGTCTTTTCTTCKCCGAATGTAAAAACACCAGGCAAAGTGAGTGCTGTGGAGATAGAGATCTCGGTCACAAGTATCAAACACACGTTATGAAAACCAAGTTTCCACGATGAATTGGCTTGAAAGTGCTTGACGATGGAATAAASTGATAGGTTGATCAATGCGAGAGAGAAACTGAATTCAAAAATGGCTGGAATTAAAGTATGGCTGAAAAGTTTAGGTAGCGGCAACAACTCAAACAGCAGATCCAATCTACTGCTGAAAGCAATRAAACCRGCTGAGGTTTGCGTGACTACCAAGTATTTGATATTGTCTACCGCTTTCCAGTTCGTTTTCGTACAGCACACGCACAACAAGGATATGTTTAAAACAGCACCGCCAATGTAAAGAACGAGTAAAATGACCATAGAAAGCATTTTCACTGATTTAGAGACAATGCTCTAGTCTAGATGCACCTGGTTATGTGGTATTTACTTTGCAGCATTTACTAGATAGACTGTATGGTTATGCAAATGAGAGAAATGAATTAAAAATATGAAATTAAACAGAAAGATTGTCACTTTATGACACGGGCCCTTCTCTTTGAATTTGAAAAATAAACCCTGATTTTCAMTAGCGACACAAAAGAAATCGCAGAAAAAGGTCAAGAGCAAGATATCTATTTCCCCTTTTTTTGGTTTCTTGAGCTTACTCTCGTATTTGTGCTTGGTTTTACCAGTGAAAACGAAACTACTCAAAGTGCACTTGATTCTTCTCCCTTACGACTAGCTAGTGAATATATTGATRTCTCTAAACTAATTTACTGTGAAATTGCAAAAAATCTAACTGAAGCGGTCGARCTTCCTTCAATTATACCAMCATTCSTTGTGAGCACCATTTACTAAATTACACGAATTATAAGCGCGTTCAATGTAGTGGAAAAGACCATTTCAGCAATTGTTCGTGGTATTGCCTTTATCGAAAATGAAAGTAGAAATATTGTCTTAAAAATAGAAATTTATTACATGACAYGGAGACAGGTTCAAGTAAAAACATTTTTAAATGTTGATTTAAAAATCAACAAAACATGCGCAAACTACCTAGTATCACTGAATAACATAATACCAAAAACAAACTAAATTAAAGTATAGTTTGATATAATAATATGGAGTCATTTTCATCCGTTTGTGAAACAATTACTACCAGTCAGTGTTTAATAGTGTCTAATAGTTGTATTCCAATAATAGAAAGCAGGGGTATAGAGTCTACTAGCGTCTATTAGCGTAGGAACTATTTCACAGACCGATGAACATCACTCTATCAATCCAGTATTAGCAATAATATCACTGCAGTTCTGACTATTTCATGGGCRTATGAGCTTTATCTTTAGATTTGAAGTAGCTTAATATATACAATCTMATTGTAAGGTTTTTGTCAAAAATTGCTGACAGTTTTCTTGATTTAATGGATTAAAATGACGAAAAATGGATTAAATAGCTAACGTTTTACAATATATATTGTGTTATTTTTTGCCAGATTTCTTCATACCGCCTTTGCCTGTTGAAGTAAAATACTGGAGGTAAAAATCTRATAATTTTTAAATTATTAAAATATTAAAATAGTRTTAAATCTTCATTCAGGTTCTCAGTAAAAATAACACTAAAAAAAAAGAAAAAAAAAAGACTAAAAAAAACACTTGATGTCAAAATAGGAAAAGTACAGACAAATAATCTGCAAATATATTCGTAAGTAGCTGGCGATGAACTAAGCTATAACTGACAATTTTTGTGGCTGCTGGGTTCTACTGAGAACCCTGTAAATTGTACTGAATTGCATGAAATTCCATGTTTATTGTGCTATTTGTTTAGCACTTTTTCAGGCTATTAATCATAATATAACAGTCCATTAAAACCAATGAGAGAGACTTCAGGYATATAGTAAATCACTAAGAATTATWAGCCTACCCATGGGTCCTTTCTGTGATGCCTTTTCTTTGGCTTGTTCTAATGCTTTCTTCTCATCTTTAAGTTTTTGTTTGTGTTTCATATCTTCCTGAAAATTAAAAAATCAGAAGACTTTAGAAACAGAAACAAGATACAGAGTTTCAGGAATGTGAAGACATGAATCCTGCTGAAATGGAATAATTCTCAATATTACTTCTTATTAATTCTTGGAGTCAATCTAATTTCTAATTGGAATCATCAAATATTCAGCAAAAAAATGTCTTGAGTGTTTTGTATTAATTGTGCTTTGACTATTGGTTGATTGTTTTCAGGTTGAACACTCTGTTATGCAAGAATAATGTAATTTTTTGCAAAGGAGCATGCAGAGAGTCTGTTTTATGTCAGATATATCTTACTATAACAGCTTATTACCACGCTTACCAAACTATCAAAATAAACACTGCTGCATTACTCTCACACTGTTTTTTGCTCCCCCGAAACTTAGGTGAGGGTGTGCTGCTGGGACCTAAAAACCCCGGACCCTTTACAGAGTGAAATCGCTGAAAACTATACCCTGTTCCAGAGTAAAATAGCTGAAAACGATACCCTGTTCCAGAGTAAAATCCTGCACTAGCTTGCATGTAGACCAAATTTTTACACCATGAAATTTTATCCAGCATCAATAATTCCGGAATTCAACCCTGACCCTGTTCCAGAGAAAATTCGTTGAAATTGATACCCTGTTCCAGAGTAAAATCGCTAAAAACGATACCCAGTTCCAGAGTAAAATCGCTGAAAACGATACCCTGATTGACTGCACGTCCCCGTATAGCGAATATAGGGGGTACGCCTCACTAAATTCTTAGTTAGTTGATAACTAAATCTTATTAGGTGCTAATTCGTTAAGAATTGTTTCTGTACACTTATGTCGCATACAATTGCAAAATTCACAGCCACCTCCCCAGGGATTTCTTAAGTGGATATCAAAAAACACCCTCCCCCTCTGGATTTCCCTGTTTTTATGCCCCCCATCCCCTTGAATTTACATATGTCCTCAACAGGGGTGGTGCAGATACTGCGATAGCCCATTGCCACACTAGAGCGGATTTCGTATGAGTGGGAAACGGACGGTACTGTACTGTGACCGTAATCGTACTGTAACCAAATTCTAGTGCCCCATTGGTTCACCAAAATTGTGAAGGCCAGGTCCGGTAACTGTGCGGTAATCGTGCGGTAACGGTGTCCCACTCATACGAAATCCGCTCTATTGTAGCTCAGTATGATATATAGCTGTGGGGTCCCTGTGTATAGCTAACAAACCAAAACATGTTCTCATTCTGAGTGCTACCGCAATGAAAACTCGCATTCCCATTCAATTTTAACATCGCTAAAGGAGATTTAGGAGTTGAGCGGCAGCGCAAATGAGCTTTATAAATCTTCAAATGAACCATGTGATCGTTACCTCGTCCACTTCTCCCTTCTGCTTTTTTGGAGCCTTCAGTGGCTTTTTCTTGCCTCCTAAAAATATAAAAACAATGAAAATCAAGTTAACACACTGAATAAGTCATTGAATAAATTKATTATGAAAAATATTTCCAAATCTAACCTTCTCTACCGGACATTTTTCAAAAGCTGAGCACAAACTCAYTGATCTATGGTCATGAGCCCGCGATATTGAGTTSCTRTACMTATTGAGCCTTATGATTGGCTAGTGYAATATTTTCGCGAATCAGAATCCTGAATACATTAATCCCGAAAAGTGTCAGCGGAAAAGACAATCACGTGACCCGGCACGCCGCGCTGGATTTATCCAAGATGGCGGCCAGTGGAGTATTTCTACCGGGAGCCGTTTTTAGGCCAACAGCATGGTAAAATGCGACATTTTTCTTATGATTTATATTCAAAACTACTTTTCGATAACCATAATTTTTCTTGTACAAAATTTTTGCTTATTTGAGTCTTTTCCTTCATTTTTTACAGTCTTGGAGTTCGGAACATGGCAACCTTGAAAGACCGTAAGTTTGATTATAATTTGTTATTGATTTTAATATTATTTCTACACATTCTTTCTTGTGAGTACCTTTTATATGYAATAGTTGATAGTCTTCAAATCTGATTTGTTTTTTGAGATATCTAGTGAAATGTAATGTTAAGAGATTGAGTTCTAAAAATATCTTGATCAAAATCCGCCTAAATGAAKAGTGTACATGTAAATTTTTAAGCTTTAATTTCAACATGTTTACGTTTCTGTACAATTCTGTGTGTTGTCTAACAGATATGCCCAAACTCTTGTGTAAAACATGGTGCTGTTCACAAAGGGCAAGCAGCGTAATTAGAATGAATCACAATAAACCTCATTAACACACTAACAACAAGTGTTGATGAATTCTGGGAGGGTTCTCTGAGACTGGTTATAAAATAATTAGATCTGATTCTCATGCTCGTGTGGCTAGGAATGCTGCCAGGAGTGTGATCATTATAGCAACAGATATTCGCTATTGTTGTAATTATGAGTAAGAAAACCCAGATCCCTATTTTGCAGTCTTTTATGATCCAATGTGATGTTGYGTTTAGTATCAGTCCGTTTGAAGTCAGTGAAGAACATCCAAAAGATCACCAAATCAATGAAGATGGTATCAGCTGCAAAGTTTGGCCGTGCAGAGAAGGARCTTAAGCCAGCAAGATCTTATGGTGCTGGGGCTTCAGGTAATTTTTTTTAATAGAATCTTCTGTTCTTTATTAGCAAAATTAGTATTCTTGATTGTGTTCTTTAAGATTTTGATAG